TATATATATATATATATATATATATATAATGTTTAATGATATTTCTCCAGGGTTAACCATAAATTTTTTAACTTGACAGCCCAATATTTTTACTTCCTGTCTAGTAACATAAAAAAAAAGTCAAAAGGCACATAATACTGTTATTGTTCTAATGAAAAAAAAAAACAAGAGAAATTAAATACTGTATTATTTGTTAAAATATGCAAATATTTACTCAGGTAACCTGGGGAAAACAAATGGCAACATGACCAGTCTCTACTGTATTTATCATTTAAAGTATTAGTAGGATCAGCTGGGCACAGTGGCTCATTCCTGTAATCCCAGCACTTTGGGAGGCCAAGGCGGGTGTTGGAGACCAGCCTGACCAACGTGGTAAAAACCCCATCTCTACTAAAAAAAAAAAAAAAAAATGCAAAAATTAGCCAGGCATGGTGGCGTGTGCCTCTAATCCCAGATACTTGGGAGACTGAGGCAGGAGAATCACTTAGAACTTGGGAGGCAGATGGTGCAGTGAGCCAAGATCGCACCACTGCACTCAGCCTGGTGACAGAGTGAGACTCCGTCCCCCGAAAAAATAAATAAACAAAGTATTAGTAGGAAAATTTTACTCCTCATTTTTTTATATTGATAAGGAAAGTCTATAAAATGAATCATTGTATGCCAGTTAGTAATTCCTTTTTATGTAAATATATCCATTAGCTTTATCCAGTCGTATATAAATTGTTTCCCTATTTGTCTCACAAATTGTACTAATAGAGCATAGAGTAAAAGTTAGTTTTATTCATCTTTGTATCTTTGTCTATAACAGTGCCTTATCTATCCTAGGTGCAGAATAAATTTCAGATTGACAGATGAACTGAGAGGCAGATGGATGAATGAATAGCTGAGAAAATGAATATGAAAGCAGAGTTGGGATATGCTAGATCAGAGCCAAGGATAGCACAGTCATAAATATAACATATTCGATTTGTTTTTTAATATACCATTTGAAGACTACCTTAAAGAATGCATTGACAAAGGAAAGAGGACACAAATATATTTCCCCCTCCTCCACAGCTGAAATAGCCCACTAACTGGGCTCAGTGCTTCCACGATAGACATTCTTTTATCTCATTCTCTTCAGAGTAGTTACAGTGAGCTTTTAGAAATGCAAACTTTGCCTTGATCTCTTCCTAGGAAAACATCACTATTAGGATCAAGTCCCTTCAACCAACCTATTGATAACAAGTTAAAAAAAAATCAAATTTGAATTCTTTAACTTGGCCAACAAAGCCCTGCCTGGTTCTAACCACACAGGCAATCTCTCAGGCTTCCCAGTGCTCCACTTTCCCTTCATGAGCCACACGCCCTCCTGCCTTCCACAGGGTTTGCCCAAGCTGTCTTGGTGCAAAGAATGCTTCCCTTCTACTTTAACTAGTAAACACCTACTCACCTACCTTTTGCATCTCAATTCAGTTGTGATTCCGACAAGGACATCTTTCTCAGTTTCCTTTCTGGACAAGTTTTTATGCATTGGGAATATAAAAATTAATGTCTATCTCATTGTAAATAAACTTCATGAGGATAAGGACCATATAATTTTGTTCAACCTTGTATACCAAATACCTAGCACATAATCAACAGTGTCTACCATGTAGTCATTAATCAATAAATACTTTAAAAATAATATTAATGATATTATGATAAGGAAGAAGGAGAGAACATCTTGCTTTACAGTTCAAAAAGTACATTTATATTTATTATTTTTTTGTAATACTTAAAACAATCCTGCATAATAGAGACTATTATAACTCTCTTAGTCCATTTATGCTATTATAACAAAATACCTGAGACTAGATGATTTATAAATAATAGAAATGTATTTCTCACTGTTCTGGAGGCCAGAAGTTGAAGATCGAGGCACCAGCAGGTTTGGTGTCTGGTGAGGGCCTGGTCTTTGCTTCCAAGATGAAGCCTTGTTGCTGTATCCCCTGGAGGGGGCGAAGCTGTGTCACAGGACAGAAGGGATGGAGGGGCAAAAGAGCCTCAGTTAGTTTACTGCAGCGCTTTCATAAGCCCTCATCCATTCTGCACTTACGGCCTGATAACCTCCTAAACGCCTCACCTGTTAATACTCTTGCACTGGGGATTAAGTTGCAACATGAATTTTGGAGAGGACACAAACATTCAAAATATAACACTCTCCAAACATTGATTTCCTAATATAAAAAATTAGCAAGTAATAGCACCCACTGTTTTTCTGAGGATTGAGTGATTCTATACAGGTAAAATAACTACTTTCGTACTTGGCACATAGAAACGCTCGTTAAAGGTCAGGTTTGTAGACATACCAAGCATTCTGTCCTGAATCATGCCTTTTAGGATGTGCTTCCATCTTCCTGAACCACATTTCCCACATCACCATTAAATGGTTGATACCCATTCATCCTTCCCATCTCAGTGGAAAATCAGGGAAGGCTTCCCTGATCCTCCAGCTTCAGTTACATTTCATTCAGTATTATTATGTCTTCCCTACCAGGATTTTTATGGACCAATTATTGAATAATTTTCAGACTCCATATCCTCATCTGTATAATGGAGGAAATAATAATAGCTACCAGTTATTGAATACCTTATGATAAATTGCATATGAAGGATGAGGAGTGGAAGGTGTCAGAGATGACCCTTGTGTTCCTGGATGGTGTAACTGCTTAGATGGTGGTGTTCCTTACAGATGCTACAACCACAAGTCAGAGGTGACATCACTGTACTTAAGACTTGGAGTTTGTGGCATTTGCCAGGTGCAGTGGCTCATGCCTGTAATTGCAGCACTTTGAGAGGCTGAGGCAGGCAGATCACTTGAGCCCAGGAGTTTGAGAGCAGCCTGGGAAACATAGCAAAACCCCATCTCTACAAAATACCAAAACTAGCTGAGCATGGGGGTGCGTGCCTGTACTACCAGCTACTTGGGAGGCTGAAGTGCAGGGATCACTTACGCCTGGGAGGTCGATGCTGCAGTGAGACGAGATTGCACCATGGCACTCCAGCCTGGACAACAAAGCAAGACCCTGTCTCAAAAAAAAAAAAGAATGTGTAGCCTGTAGTAATCTCAAAAATGATAGTGGTAATTGCCGTTTTCCGTTTTACAGATGAGGAAACTAAAGTGCAGCACTGCTAAGCAATCTGTTAAAAAGAACCCCTGTGACCCATTGGGTAACTGCAGTAATTCAGAATCCTGATTTGAACAAATCTCACTTTACTACAGAAATCACAGTTCCTTTTATAAGTACTTCTCAAAGGATAGAAATTTAACATTCCAGGAGACTGCCTGGACTGCCGGTGAGGTCCATTGGTTTTCAAAACCAACATGTGTTTATTCAGTTGAGGGCTTGTACCTCAGTTGTGATAGGTAGAAATGATGCACACATGCTTTGACACAATATATAGGATTTAGTCTTTGATAGCCTATACATTGAAAGTTTGCAAGTAAAAGATTTTTTGTGTTTGTATATTTATTCTATGTTTAAAAACCCAAACAAAAATATAACCCCAAAGAATTTTTTATACACATTCAGATCAACTATCTTCTTTACCAGGGAATAGGAGAATGTTATATTTGTAACTAGTTTTTTGGGGCTCTCATCCCAGTGAAATGTAAATATGAACTCTATCTATTTTCTCAATTCATAGCTTTCTTCACTCAGGTACTGTGTTATTTCCCTCTATCATCTTTTAATTAATTATTAGGTTGGTCCCTCAACTTTTCAGTCACTCTCAACTCTCAAAAGTCTTAACCCAGTTTAAAAGTTCAATTTCAGTCTCTGCTTATTCTCATTTCTTCCCTTATTCTACCTTAGGCATGAGCCAGGTACCCTAATGGAACTGTAGTTCAGGGTCTGACTCTAATAGATCTCTTCCCCTTCTCTTCCTCCTCAAGGCTGAACCTTTCCGGAGAGCAGGGACGATGGAGAGGGAAAAGGATTCTGCCTCTCAACTCCTTTGGCAGTTATTGCAGCTGTTTCTCTGGCTACTATTGACTAACATGTGATGTCTTTTCTATGAGAGGTGACCAAAGGCTGGCTATTCTGGGCAACATATGTGTGAATTCTTCAGAAGGGTATGCAGAGGATGCCCACTGCACTGCTCACAGCCTGGCCAAGGTCCAGCTTCTTCCACTGCCTCACTGGCTCCCATCATTGGTGGTACAACCCACAGCTTTTGGCTGAGGAGGTAGCTTTTTGATGAAGCATGGGGCAAGGAGACAACTACGCTGTGGCCCTTGTCTCTGCCCTGTCATCCCTCTTCAGTTCTCTGCTCAGATATAGGCAAGGAAAGATGAGCAACTCTGTGTCTGAGCAACATAAGGCAAGTGTGCCTCTGTGCATACACCATCAATCTCTTTATGCCTCTTCATACCTTCTCCCTCAGTGTGCTCTTTCCCCGACCACTGCACTTCCTTCCCGTAGGTTCTCCTCTGTCACCCTGTCACTCTTTCATCCCAGTCTAACCTTGTCTTGGGAGCAAAATGGCTCTGCAAATATGCATTCACGGCAAGAATTTCTGTGGAACCTTAAGTTGCCTCTGGTTGGTTCACTGGAATTATCCTTGGGGTACTAAGTGCCTCCTTTCCCTCCATTTTGGATTGTGGTTTTAACATTTAACTTTGGATTTAACATTTCTGGAATAATAGTAAAGTCCCTCTACAGAATCAGTGTCTTTATTTCATAGATGAGGAAATTGAAGCTTAAAGAAGTTAATCTTTGGGCATACAGCAAGAAAACAGAAATCCCATTTTCTCTATCCACATTGTTCAGACCCGAAAGGCCATGCCCTTAAGTAGTGCATGACAGCGTATCCTCATAACACATTTTCTGTGCTATTTCTGGCTTTCACTGGAAGATAGCATTAAGACCTGGATTTCTACACAAGTGAAAACTCAGACATATGGACTTACAGAGGAACAGGGCTAGGAGTCCTGACTGCCACATGTCAGGATAGCACCTTCTCAGGGATCTCTCTGGGCCAACCAAGAAACATGTGTAGCAGAATTCCCAGGGAGTTCTCCAATCAGGACTTTAGGTAGAGACAACATGCCAACAGTTACAATTTTGTTGGGGAGGAAATGTGACACAGAGTGAGTCACTGAAGGGAATAGACAGATCTTCTTTTAAAATAACATCTTACAAACACAGTAGATACTGGAGACTCCAAAAGTAGGGAGGCAGAGAGGTGGCAGGGTTTGAAAAACGACCTATTGAGTACTATGTTCACTTTTTGTGTGATGAGTTCAACAAAAGCCCAGACCTCTGCATTATGCAATATATCCACGTCACCAACCTGCACATTTACCTTCTGAATCTAAAATAAGTTTCAAAAATAAAATAACATCTTAAATGGATAAGTTGGGCATGATGATTCAATTTAACTTCTTAACCTATCACCTTGGAAGTCCCCAAAGGAAAGGACACTAATGACAATAGCTAATATTTCAGGCCACTTACTTTGAGACAAGAACCATTAATTGTTTTATATGCATTATGTTGCAGCAACCCTTGAAACAGATACTTCTATTTTCTCACTTAAAATTAAAGTAACTAAGCTTAGAGATGTAACTTGCATAAGATAATAGACATCGAAGTGTGGTAAAGAATAAAAAATTTGTGTCTTTTTTAAAAGTTTGCTTTTTATGATTCGGCTATTAATAAAAATGATGATAAAATAATTTTTCCTCTGTTTTACAGAGTTACCGAAAACACGGATAAGAGTCCAGAAAGGCAAATGCTTCTAAACCTTCAAAGATGGCAAAATTGTTTACAGCAGTGAGAGGGAGATCAAAAGCTAAGAACTACCCTGTAGCCAGGACTACAGCTGTGTATTTTAAAGCCATTATTCAAGGTTTCTTACTTGACAGTTCCTACACAACCCTGTTGAAAATCTACAATATATGCTGCATTTAATGAAACATGTATATGTCAAATCAGAAGAGAAGAACTATAAACATATATTGTGTAAAGAAAAAGTTCAGCATTGGAACTAGTTTCAGCAGATCAAGCAAAGATGTGTCTTGGGCATGGAACCAAAGTTACAATGAAACATTCAACCCCTGCTGTGCAGGGGGAGTCATTTTAATGTAACACCACACCCCATGGAAACACTAGTCCTGATAATAAACATCATTTTAAAAGATCAGAACAAAAAAAAAAAGAAAAAAATAAAAAACAAGGGTGGGTGGGGAGTGAAGCACGAGGAATACCTATGAAGAGCTATTTACAATAAAATGTTTCATTTGAAAAGTCTGGTTTCTTACTACAGGGATTTGCTTTTCTGTCTTTATGATTGTTTTAAACTCAGGAACAGAGACATCCGCATCGTGAATGGGAAGAAAAACACCCTATCTTTTGTTTTTCTGCAAAAGGTGGAGCTCGTGGAATTCATTCCACAGACAACAGATGAGAAGTGGATCACAGTGACCGTAACAAAACTGGTAACAAAGTCAAAGGACCTGGGCGAATGTAACATGCGAAATAAAAGCAGATTGGATGCTTCCCTGTCCTACTCTCACATCTGCATCCCTCCATCAACAATGGACTGAGCTCATTCATATTGAAAATTAAGAAGATAATACTGTAAATCACATGCTCCCTGACTTAGTTCTGTGTAGAACGCTAACGTCTATGGGGAACATGGGCCAGAGATCATCTATGAATCTTTCATTTCCAAAATACTGGTTTTCAAATGGCTGCTTAAAATTGCCTACAAATGAATATGCTATATGATTTGGGCAAAAACAAAATAGAGTCAATGAATAAATTTCTACCAACAGTCGGATTTGCCACAGAGATGTGAATATTAAACTAAACTATTATTTTTTAAAGAATCCTTACATGCCTAGAGCATTCTGACCTCTTCTTGTTTAGAGTGATAACATTTTTTCCCAGACAGCTGACAGCAACAAGATAGCTCTACTTTTTTATATAGAAATAACATTATGTTACTGACAAGGTCATTTTCTAACAGAGACAATTAGAAGACTGATACTTTTCCTAAGTTGTATATTACTGAGTCTTGGATTTATCTCTGAGAGCAAATATATGTTCCTGAAAAGCTAATTTTACACCTCATTTACTGTAGATAACAGAACAACCTCAATTTTTCAAATTTTTGAAGTTTTATTTGTGGGACTAGAATTCCCATGCATAGAGAATATGTGTAGGGAGCCAGAAACTCTTTCTATGAAATCTTTCCATATGTGGGTTCAGTGTCATCCTTCAGTTTTAGCACTGGCATTTGCAAAGCCAGAATAATAAATGAAGAATGTACAAGAAAAACTAGAATGCTGGGGTCCTACTTTTTGTTCTGATATTTACTGCTGACCCAGGTATCTTTGGCCCAGTCACTTAACCTCTGTGCCTCAGTCTCCTCATCTGCAAAATGGGGTTAAAATGCTTTTTCATAAAGTTTTATTTGCAATTTTAGAATAAGAGGTGCTTAAAGTAGCACAATGTGCTTTGTAATTATTATAAGTGCTGTATTATTTGACTTTCTTGTGTTATTGAGAAAAAAATTCCCTCATGTAATAAAATAGTGCTTCAGTTTGGTTAAATTTAAGCACTATAGCACTGAAGCTTGCCCATCAAGCTACTTGGGACATTATTAGCAATAAAAATTGAGAGATTCAAAACCAGGATCTTTAATAATCTTTAGCAAATAGATTATCTCATGCTATTGAACAAGATAGAAGAGTGTCATTTCTATGATAAACATCTCCCAGCTGTCTTGATTGCATATGCGTACCATCATACAGAATCCCACTTCTATCACAGGAGAGCCAACCATTAAAGACTTGGAGTGAACTGACAGTATCACATAATTAGCTTGACTTCTTTTATTCTGGAGGAAAGTCAGGTGACATGTCCTACTGAGAAGATACAAAACAAACTATCCTGCTGAATACTTTTTATTATTTATTTATTTATTTGAAACAGAGTCTTGCTCTGTCACCCAGGCTAGAATGCATTGGCTCAATCTTGGCTCACTGCAACCTCCATCTCCCAGGTTCAAATGATTCTCCTGCCTCAGCCTCCCAAGTAGCTGGGATTACAGGTGTCCACTACCACGCTTGGCTAATTTTTGTGTTTTTAGTAGAGAAGGGGTTTCATTATGCTGGTCAGGCTTGTCTCAAACTCCTGACCTCAAGTGATTTGCCCATCTAAGCCTCCCAAAGTGCTAGGATTACAGGTGCGAGCCACCGTGCCTGGCCTCCTGCTGGATTCTTTATTCAACTAGGTAGGTTCTAGATTAAATATGAAGAGTAGGTTCATTGGGCAAGGAATGTGAAAGAGGGTGCCTCTACATGGTTGGTGACTCAACCGTAGCAAACTTGAGTCAGAAAATATGAAAGAGGATACATTACTCTAAATTACTATCTCATACCTAAGATGTTTCAATTTCTCTTCACTCTATTCCAGGGCCCATATGAGTAAATTTATATTCCATCTACTCCAACGCATACCTTCCTTCTCTTAATTTTGCTTTCCCACCAATAAATTTGTAAGTCAAAATTTATTTCCATGAACTATTTGTAAGTGATTGGAAATATTTGCAAAAGTGGTACGGTTTATATACCTAATCCGCTTATCTGCTATAAATCGGAATTGTATCATAAACACACAAAATCGTTTGAGAGCAACAGCTGGGATGATTGTCTAAGCAGCTTTAGCTGTGTTTAGTGCCAGGCAAAAGGTTTGTTTTTTTTCTTTTCGCTTAAGATCCAGGAGATTAGCAAATTTCTCTAGACTATTGGCTCAGCTGTAATTTTTACCAAGTCTTGTTCATAAGCCTCAAAATTCATATATGCTTGAATAAGTCTAAACATTTCAATAGATACATCTCTCTATTATCTATTTTCACGATTATCAAAGCATCAGCAAAAATGTGGATGTATATTCTAGTCACTCATGGATCCATGGAAATGGACCATGTTTAAATGAATGCTTCCCTTGGATAGGATGTTCAGCAATAGAAAAAAAAAAAAAAGGTGTTAATAACAGTGAGATTTCCTGTGACTCCACCCCTGCATCTGTACTACCAGACGCATTTGGCTAATGAGTTTGCAGGAGTCAGAACAGCATTCTTCGGGGGTCATTAACTTAATTTTTCTTAATAAAGTATTTATACTCTGGAAAATAAACGTACCTGACTACTAAAGATGGTTTGAGATAAATAAAAGCCCCAATTTAAATAGTTATTTGGGAGAGAAAAATTTCATGAAAGAGGAGTAAAACATGGACAGACTGTATTTGACTATCATACTTAAAAAGCATCTATCACAAATTGACTGTCAAACTTTTTTGTAATGCCACCCTACTTTTAGGAAATAGAATTTTCTCAAAAAAAATTACATCCCTTCTGACTTACCCTATATAAATTAAATTATTGCCAATAGTTAGGTTTTAGGGGTGGAAGAATAGACCTTGCTTTGTTTTTATTTTTATTTTTTTGGTTCACAAATAACTGCTCGTGCAGGTAGTATGTGTCTTCCTAAGTCAATAAGATAGAGGTGATATGGAAGGCATGGGCTATCACTTATGTAGAGAGGAAATTTGTTCTCCACTAGTAATAGGAGAAATAAAGTTTGCCAAATAATTTTTGCTACAGTCTTTTATTTCAACTTTACTTTCAATTTTAAAGACATCTCTGGCAAACTTGTTCCTTTTTGCTCATTGATTGTCAACTTGTTCTGTAAACCCATTGTGTACTTCTTATGTTTGCTTTAATGTAATTCACAAGTTCATTGTTTTAAAATGAAGCACGTCTTTTTGAGTTGCCTAGGTTTCTGTGAAAACCGTTAAAAAGAATATTCATTGGTTTTGTGTTGATGTTTAAATAATTGGATCATCTGTGTTATATTACATCAAGATGGATGGATAGCATAGACGTTTTATTTTTAAAATATTCAATTGCATTATTTCAATCTGTCAGAGTGGCACAGAATACACACACACACATACACACACACACACACACACACACACAGAGCAATAGAAATTTGCTCTGTAATTTGGGAGTTGCATTGCTTGTTGCCTTTTGTGAAATTTTCATAACAATGTTTTGGTAATTTAATGCTAGCTTTTGGCAGTTTAACTCTGTCACTTCACTAGTTTAGATTTATCTACTATATTGAAAAAGTTCAATATAACTTTTGAATGATAAGTAAACAAATCAAATCTTAGATAACCATTTATGTCATGAGTTTATGCTTTCAATATGGACCCACACCCCTCTTTAAGCAGACTTCTAGGTCTTAAGTGAGGAAAGCTGTCATTTGCCTTGTCATTTCTATATAATGTACTATTTTGAGGGTTAATTTCAGGCATATTGGCAAGAGGATTCAGACATAATGGAAGGTTGGAGCTAATCCCTGTAAGGCCTCTTCAAGTGCCAACTTCTCTGATTCCATTTCAGAACGGGGCAGGGCAGATTCACATTCCTTTGCTGTCTTTAGTTTGGCAGTTTGGTTCTTCCTAAGCAAATCTGTTGCTGAGAGTCCAAGTCCAATGTTTAATCAAAATTCCTAAAGATAGCTGCTCAGAAAGCTAAACCGGGAGGACAGCTTGAGCCCAGGAGTTCAAGACCAGCCTAGGCAACATGGTGAGACTTCATCTCAAAAAAAAAAAAGAGGAAAAAAACTACTAACGATATACTTATAGGGGCAAGGTAGCAAAAATAGGATTATAATTTGCTATATTTAACCAAGTATGTCAGAGGTACAGGCGGTTGATGTGGTGAGGGTTTCTGTTTTTGTTTTGTTTTGTTTTGTTTTCTGCTTTTAGGTCTTTGTACCCATGCTTATATTTTCATCCTTTTTATATGCAAAGTTCTGTAAGGTAAGAGTGGTGAAGTTAAACAAATTTTAGCCCAATTTTGCCTACAATCAAGACCCCATGAACTTACTACAGAATGGATGATGCAATTTTCCAAGCAGAAGCAGATCCCCAGCATCTGTTAGTAACAACACTTCTATTTGACTGACATATCACAGACTGTGCCTATATCCCCCATCAACCATAGCAACTTCCCACAATGAGGCAGATCAAACTCCAAACACTTTTATAAATAAGTGATGTAAATATATGCACAAATATATTCTGTACATAGTATGATGGTGTGAGCGCTTACTAAATGTGTACTTCTGTTCTAGGATGCAGGACTTCAAGAAGGGTTTTTTTCTGCTGCTGCTGGGAACTCATGTTCCTGTTGAGCATTTAGTGTTTGAACTCTTCCCCTCCTTGACTACCTCTTCTCTCTCTCACCCCACCTTCTGTTCACTACTATTATTTCCGATTGTTGACTGAGGCAGAGACTACTTGGTTTTTCAATTATCCAGTCCCATAAACCAGCAAATAAGTCTTTTTATTTGTTTGGTTAATTGTTTGATATTTTTTTTTGAAAGAGCAACAGAAAGTTCAGCACAATCTACAGTATTAAAATTAGCCAAAAATCCCATATCTTTATTAGCTAAAAATTCCATTTCAACAGGGTTCATGCATGTTTTAGCCTTCAAGATCCAATACTTTGGGGACGCAAGTATAGAGCTAATGTGTTTGAATACATAATTCCCAGGTTCCTACTGTGGTAATGTAGCCAAGGGTCCAATTTCACAGAGTTTTCATTCAATCAACTGCCTCAATTGGGGTTCTCTCTGTCCATCTCATTAGCATGACTCCATATATCACTTCAGTGCTTGTTGATTAATGAAAGAAAAATAAAAATTGACTGAACTTCACCAGAATGATCCTTGGAAGTACCCCGAATATGTACATTTACTGTATGTATTACCGTAGAGATTGGAATCAACTTACTGTATGTAAAGTTTTATGAATGGTTATTTTATAATTTATGTATTTAATATAGGAATCAACTCTGGTGTTTTAGTTTATATAAAAATAAAACAAGCTGCATTTTTTTAAAACTTTATCTTGCATTGTTCATAGCTTGTTTGTTTAACTGAACTCTATTCTACTTTTTTTTTCCTGAGACAGTCTTGCTCTGTTGCCCAGGCTAGAGTGCAGTGGTATGATCTCAACTCACTGGCTCACTGCAACTTGCACCTCCCGGGTTCAAGTGATTCTTCTGCCTCAGCCTCCCGAGTAGCTGGAACTACAGGTGTGCACCACCACATCCCGCTATTTTTTTTTTGTATCTTTAGTAGAGATGAGGTTTCAAGATGTTGGCCAAGCTGGTCTCAAACTCCCGGCTCAAGCAATCCACCCACCTCGACTTTCCAAAGTGCTGGGGATTACAGGCATGAGCAACTGCACCCAGCCTCTAATCTACTTTTGAAAAACAGGGTGAGGCAAATCAGGGCTATCAGTGTAATGGAAGGAAACAACCCTATGTGTGGGACAGTAAATAGATTTCTTCTCATCTTCCCACTCTCCATTTGTTATCGTGTGTGCCATGAGCACTATGATAAGGAAGTCAAAGCAGAATTTACACCCCTAGGGGAAATCTATCAACATCAGTATCTCTGTAATGAAAATAGTTTGGGAGAG